AGTGAAAATTGCCATTTCAATATATAGTCGATATTATGAGGAGAAGGGGAACTCAGATGAAAGAGAAGGGGGTTTTACTCTGGGAGAATTTAACATTTGAAACAGTAAAAATTATTACTTTTAAAATATACATTTTACCAGCCCAAGCAAGTCAATATATATAATTACAGTTTGATTTTTAGCGTTGTGTTTAAAATTTACCATTTTACTTTGTAAATATTGACGTTACTTGTATTAGAAATTTACTAACTTTATTTTATACTTTTTACATATCATAAGATCATTTTTTAGGTACGAAATGATAAATATCAAAGTCTGAATTATTAATTATTATACTTTAACATTTCAGACATTGACATAGCGAATATTACTGTTTGAAATAGTATTTTCTTCCATGTAAAGAGTAAATTGTAACGTTTAAATGGTAAATATTATAAAGTGAATAGTAAAATCACGATTTTACTGTTTGAAATGGTAATTTTTAGCAATTGACCATTATTTATTATAAATCGACTGTTATTTATTACAGTTTACTTTTTTCCATGTGGGATATTCTATTACTATTTTAAACAGTAATTTTCATTTTATATTTTTCTATAAATCGTTTTTGTAATTTTTAGTTTACTCCTCTAAAATAAAATAAAATTTTCTTATTTAATAACAATCAATATGTAAAAACAAATTTGAAAATGGGTAATTAAATCAAAACTAAAACTAACACAATGAAACCCAATATCAAAAGGTTAATTTGTTAATATTAAAAGCACTCGGCTGTATCAGATGAAATCCGCTTGCAGTTAGTTTTTGAATAGTTAAATACCGTACAACCTTTACTCTATTACAGTATTATTATCATAAGTTACTGTAAAACTGCAGTCGGAGTTAAAACCTCCCCTTTTCTACCTACCCTTTCGTGATTGGTAGGTAGATGGCTCACATGATACTGAAATTGAATATAATTTAAATAATTTAAATTACAAACATCATTTATAGCTTAAACTCTGGTAAATTGTCGACTCGTGCAGTAAATATTGAAAATAACTTACGTCAATTCTGGATTTACATTTTTTCAATTTATCAAATGGATTTTTAAGTACTTAGTCGCTATCGGATAAATTATATCAAAGAAATTAATCTTGTAATTAAAAGTGCGTTTAATTACGTAAAAACCAACTGTGGATTTTTATTAATAATATTTGTAATTAAAACAACTCATTAACATGATTGATTAAATTTTTTTAATTATAATATCACATTAACATAATTCTATCTTTTAAAAATTTAAGTAATTAAAAATTTTTAATTAATTAAGAAATTATTATATTATACTTTTAAATTATAGTTATCACTTGTTTGAATTGTTTCTTTACCGAAGAATAAAAAGAACTCAAGCACTCGCAGGTTCCTTATAGATATTATTACTTAATTATGCAAATATTGATCAATAGAATCTTAATTAGTTTATCGGATAGAAACTATAATCCCCTGGGCGGAAAAAACGACAGTAAAACATAGTAAAATATAAAATGTTTTATAAGTATTAAAAAAATTTAATTGCAAAATAAAATATAAATAAGGAAATAAAATAATTAACAAAAAAAAAAAGAAAAAAAAAACAGAAATTGTCCAATCAATTGAAAATGCCTGGAAGCAAACTCTTTTATCTCTCTTTGGTGAAATGTTTCTATTCAATATACACAATACAAGTCTGCTGAAGCGTCATTTTGACATAAAACTATCAGCAACTCCTCTGACCCTATCGACACATTTAAAAAGTGTCCTTTTGTTCTTGTTCCTTTCCAACTTCAGCGCTTTTTCTCAATCAATTTATCTATGTATATATCTATATCTTGATACTTATTCTTATAATATACTTTTATAAAAACCAGGAGGTGACAGGAAATACAGCGCTACCAGCGAGCCAGCTGAGCAAGGCGATTTCACGGATAAGTACTGAGTATCGATTGCAGTTCGCTTGGCCAAGGCGAGCCCAGCTGACAAATGGCGATGCCGTTTCCCAGCTACCAGCTGCTGGTGGTGCTGGTGGTAATGCCGGTGGACCACCAAGAAAATCACTGAGCATGGGTGCTTTGAAACAAGGAATTCCTTCCTCAGGACCTGCTCCGGTTCACATGAAAAAAAGACCCGGAGATGTTGATCACAAACGTGATGGTAATTTAAGCTACATACTCCTCTTGAAATGGTGGAAATTTTTTTTTTTTATTTGTTTTAAGGTAGTTCGGTCATAAATGCAAAACTTTAAGAAGTTTTCGAAATTTGAAATATGGGTAATAGAATACGCATTTCATGTGCTGTTGAAATTTGAAATCAATTGACCATACCAGAAATTAGATAATTGTAATTAAAAATGACATTTTAGCACAGACAGTATGGGTGGAAAGTGAGAAAATCCCAATATTACTAGTTATTGCATTGAAAGGATTTTAAGATCATTTCAAAAAACTGATACCTGTTAGAATAATATACTTAAAATAATCCAAAGAAATTTTGAAAACTTTGACCATGTAGTTTTTTTATAAATTGTTAATAAACTGGCTAGTTAAACAAAAATAACCATTAGTAAAAGCGAATAAGAGATAACTTGTGAGAAAGGCAGTACTAGCGAGTGAAAAGGAAAAAAATAGCACAAACTATATGTCCCGAGTGAACTACCTTAAGTCGCATAAACTACTAATATAAGGTCATGAGCGACTACTGTAAGTAGTAAACTTTTTGTGGTTAGACTCGTTTTATTTCGGCTGAGCAGAATAATACACTTAAATATTGAAAAATATTCAGTGATGTACGCTGGACTCGAACCCGGTCCAATGCTTTGGTAAGCAAGAGCCAGATCCGACAGGCTATTGCCCGCTCTGGTGGAAATTTTTTATTCTTGTTTTTCCGAAAATTCTATTAGAGTGTAAATTTAGATAAAAATATAACTTTGTGATAATTTTACACTATTTTGATAAAAAATACACTGAAAAAAAAACTACTTGATTTAAGAAAAATATTTTCTTCAAAATTTAGTCTTGTTTTGAGATATTCAGTTTAAAATAATTTAAGGAATTCACGAATCAAAGCAATTAAACTTGACAATTGAGAGAAAAAGTTTTTCATTCAACAATTTTATGAATTCAATTAAACACTTTACTATTTTTTTGGATCAAGAAAATTTAAAAGTTACAACTTTATAACGATTTTGTTTCGAAGTAAATAAAAAGACCACTGAAAAATATTTTTTGTTAAGACAACATAAGACAAGTTGTGGTAGCCAATTATTATGTTAGCATAGAAATAATAAATCATATGTTATGATAATAAAGCACAGGTAATAATAAATAATTTATGTTTTTTTTTTTTTTTCTTAATTTGTTTAAAGTCGCATAAACTACTAAGGTCATGAGCGACTACGGTAGGGGGTAAACTTTTGAGATTGTGAGATTGGAACTCGTTTGTATTTCTTGGGCTGAGCAGAATAATACACTTAAATATTGAAAATATTCATTGGTGTACGCCGGACTCGAACCCGGTCCAATGCTTTGGTAAGCAAGGGCCGGATCTGATAGGCTACTGCGCGCCTTTTTATGTTTTATCAACAAAATAGTTTAGTTGGATGAACAAATTGATTTGTTGAAGCAAAAATTGTTTCGTCGAAATAACAAATATTTTTGTTTGTTTAACAACTTCAACAAATGTTGATATTTAGTAGCTAAATTATTTTGTTAAAATAATTCATAGTAACGTCAACAAATTAATTTTATTATCGCAATGAAATTGATTTTCTTCAGACAACAAATCAATTTTGTTATAACGATAAAATCAGCAAAGTAATGATAACGATATAAATTTTGTTGTGACAACAAACAGATATTGTTATAACAATAAAATGATTTGGTTAAGACAACAGATTGATTTAGCAGTATTATAAACTAATTTATTATTGCAACTTGGCTCACTTTTTTAACATAACTAATCAATTTATTGTCATGAATTAACTTCTTTTTATGAGTGTAAAAAAATAAAACTAATTAACTTAGAAATTAATAATTAGGGAATTAAGTATAGAATTTTTTAAAATTAATTAGATAAAAATATTGTTAAAATTTTTGAAAAACGAGCTATTAATGGCAATATTGATAACGAGAATACTATTACTGTCCAACATTACTTCAAAATAATTTTTATAGAATATTTTTCTTGAATCAAGTAGTTTCTTGAGTATATTTACATGGAAGAAAATACAACATTCTCAAAACTTCTTAAAAAATTACTGTTTGCCTTATTTCAGACAATTTATTCTGATAAATCAGTAGAAAGTTGAATAATTCTGGGCAAAAAAAGCTCTACCTAAATTAATCTTAGTAACTTCCTCAGTAAGAAAAGCCTCCGACAAAGTTATAAATAAGATAATCCTAAAAAAACCCAACCATAAATATACGTCTTTATTTATTCCGCAATAAATATAATAAATTCAAGTTTTTTTTGGCGAGAAATTTTTTTTCTAGGATTTTATTATCTGGAATTTTATTACTGGGGTTACAGCACCTAAACTCAAATAGAATTATTGGGAAAAAAAATCATTGACAAAACCAAGAGTCTTGCAATGAAGTCGTGATATTTATCACAAGTTTGTTGATGATCTGAGATTTTTTACGTTAGGGATGCACCTGCACTTATTTTATTTAGCTTAACGGTATAACTAATAAATAATGTATAAGGCTTCTCAATTTGTCAATGCTCGTCACTTACACGTGTCGAATCCCTACAATTGGATTAGTATTCATAGCCAGTAGATACTAATATCGATTTTTATTTTACTACAGGAGTACAACCATCTGAGCTGGAACCACTGGTGGGTAATAATACTGATAATATTGACGGAGTTGTTCTTGAAGCTGAAGAACGTGATGAGGATCTTGCTGACCTCAAAGTTGCCTTCAGGTCAGTGGCCCCATTTTTTTATTTACTATTTTATTCAATTTTTAAAGACTCAGACTACCAACTATTTTTAAATCATCCATCGTTCATCGATTTATCTTTTTTTATAAAAACCTTTCAGAAGTTACTCAGCGGTCACTAATCACAATAACCGTAATTTAATTATTAACTCTTTTTTTATTTAGTAATAGCATTAGAATTAGTATTAATTTTATATAAAATATAAAGGCAACTACGACAGGGTGTGTTTAATTATCGTTATTTCAAAGTAGATTACTTTTTTATTGATTTGTCATTTACAGACCAAGAAAGTATGCTGGTAAAGGCGTGCGTATTATCGACGACAATATCGTTCAAGAAAATAAAATAACCAAGAGCAATAAACTGTATATGGATAATTACTTGATTAATGAAATAATTGAACTTAGACGGCTTGCCGATGAGTACAAGGTAATTTGTGTCGTGCTGTTTAGTTTTATTTTCAAATTTCGCGCCTCATATAACTTGTCAGTGCCATTTTATTATTTCACAACATAAAATGGCTTATATACTCAAAATTAAACATTATCAAGAATGGTAAACTTGTTTTAATAATTATAAATACGAAATTAAACAAATTTTTTTTTTTTAATTAATTTTTATTTAAAAGTCGGTTTTAACTGCTGTGGTCGTTATCGCCGACTTTAACTGTTGGGACTCTAACGTCGCCGGTTTTAAATAATTTATTTAATAATTTACTTAATTAAGGGGTCATTCTAGTTCCAGCGCTTGAAAAAAAAAAACTATATTCATGATTTTATTACACAGAAACTATTATAGATAGTAATGTAAAATTTATTCAGCTCAACAAATACACTCTTGAATAATACACAGAATATCTAAATTTAATTTTTTTTTAATTTTTTCTATGAATAAACAATAGGTGAACGGAACTCCTACAAAATTTGGTATGTCGCTAACGTACATGATAACTTAATAACGGGTCATCTAAAACACAAAACCAAAATTATTTACCTTCAATATATAATTAGTTATTGCGCCAGACACGGAGATCAATATTTATTAATAAATAATAAAATGGCGGAAGTTAAAAAAAAAAATTCTGAAAAATAAGGCTTTTTTCACAGTTTTTAGTCCTAAAAAAATAGTAAAAATCAAAATTTTAATTTAATTGTAGATGATTCAATAGCTACTATCATGCAGAGTATGTAGTTTAAATTTTATTAAGACCGGGTCAGTGATTCCGGAGATATCATGTACGTAAACCAGAAAATCATGGTTATGAGATAAACACGTTTAAAGTTTTTATAATTAGAAAAAAAAAATCTTACCTAAAGTCAATCAATGATACCGGTACCATACAAAATCTCTTCCGCCTTTTCAAAAATTTGATTTTCTTCCATTCAAACATTCACATAAACTTCGTAAAATAATATAGTTTAACAGTAGTCAGATCAGTCAGAAATTTTTACACAATAATTTGAGAGATATGTACCTTCGAAAAACGTGAAAAAAAAAATTTTTTTTGAAAGTTACAAACCAAAATCACCCCTTAAGTTATACTGTAAAAAGATTTTTTTTTAGCTTTATACTCCTGTGTAAAAAAATCGTCTTAAAAGAGTCTTAAAAAAGTCGTTTGTTTAAGATCTTAAACGTGACAAACCAAGACTTTTTTAAGGTAGTACCTCCGCGACAATCCAGATCAAAAATTTTGACTCGCTATCCATGTTATACGTATCGACAGAGCTAAGGTTGTGGGTTAAGATTTTTTAACGTTACTGTACTCGTCGACTACGGTTTCAGTGACTAGCGGCTGTTTTTCGTACCCCCTCTCCTAAAAATAATCCTCTAAAAGTGAAATTGATTTTAATTAATCTCGAAAACTACATGGTAAAAAATTTTCATTTTTTTTTTAATTGTTCGAAATATCATATTCTTCAATCTACTAGTTTTTTGATAAAGTCTTGAAATGCCTTCGATGGAAAAAATTAAAAATACTGTCATTTTCCCACGCTTCTCCTATGTTACATGTACAAAAATGTAATTTTCAATTGCAATTATCTCAAGTTTGGTGTGGTAAATCGTCTTCAAATTTTAACAGCATATGTATTATGTATTTAATGACTTATATTCAAAGTTTCGAGGTAGTATAGGACTTATATTCAAACCTTAAGGTAGTACTACCGTTACCACAAGTGTCAAATCCCAAAACCTAACCTTATTTGATTAACGTAGTAGATTTCCCTATACTAAATTACGTTGGAGAAAGAGAGACAGAGATAAATTTTGAATGTTTTTTATTAATAAATATTCTCATATTCTTGGAAACCATACTGATTGTTACTAAATATGTTCTAGATGTTATTTCCTCTCGTTGTCTTGATTTTTATAAGAATCTGAACGTCCAGTTTTGTGAAATAAAATAAAGTCTGTGATTCTCCATAAGGATCAATGGTAAAAGTAAAAATATGTAGATATTAATATCTTTTTTTCAGGACTTGCTCGGCTTCCAAAAATTTTACTGCTTAATTATGATATTATAAAGTACCAATATGCCAAATTTCATTAAATTCTGAACGTCAATTCTAAAACCGGTAGTACTACCTTAAGACACCAAAATAAAATTCCGAGAGCAGATTTTTGAAATTTGGTTCCCAACTTTGTTATAAAAATTAATTTTTAGACGATTTTGCGGGTTTTTAACCGCAACATTTTTGCGTACGCTCTTTTTCAATTGAATTTTAAAATTGCTGAAAAATTATTATCCGACAATTTTAAGACTTAATTTAAGACGCTCCGTTTTAATGTTTCGGGGCTCTGTCGCTGTGAGCTCATCTTAGAATAGTCTTTAAAAATTTAAAAAAAATTTTTTAAGACTATTTTAAAATCATTTTAATATTATTCAAAGACGCTCTATAATAATTTTCCGGAGCTCTGTCGCTGTTCTTCTTTCTATTTTTGAATAAAATGAGCGTGAATTTTCTAAATTTTTTTTTAATATTTACTTTTACCTTTTACGTTATTATCAAAATATTAATTATCTATTATTATTATTTTTTAACGCTTATTAATTATCTAAGCACCGTGATTGGGGAAGCGTTTTGGCATCCGAAGAGGAAGCATCATTATGGAAACGTGTGTCAAATAATCACTCTCTCAACGCACTGTCCCTCGCCAGGCCAGTACTAATAAATTCTCGATGTTTACATTTATAATTATTAGATTATTACTGTTATTATTATTATTTAAGTTTATTTACTTTTTTTATGACTATACAACTTGTTTGTTTAAAACCATCCATTATTTAAGTTACACATTGTTTAATCATATTTGTTTACACATTTTTTAGCACTAGCTGTTAATCGAGTGATGCCATGAAAATAAAATTTTATAGTACCAACTTTTATTTGATGTCTAAAAAAAAAAAAAAATCGCACGAACACTCATGGAAACCTGTCGTAGTTGTTCTTTCATCGTTATTTCAATTTTTATCGTTCACTGTTTGTTAATTTATTATTCTGATTGTGATTTTTATTGTTATTATTTTTATTATTATATTATTAAACGTTATTTAACTTTATAGGTCGGTTACTAAAGAAGAAAAGGATAAAGAAAATACGAGAAAGGTAGCACCTAATATGCCACCAGCTGGAAGACCATCATCTGTACAAGCCAGACCAATTTATGAGATTCTGCAAGATGATTTGAAAGCTGTTGTTAGTATTCAAACTTCATTTTACACAATAATATATAAAACTGAAAGTAAATTCTTCTCAATGAAGATATTTATAGATGAATGAGTTATTATTAAAAGCTTTTAAATTTTTAAATAAATAAATAGCCTCGGGTTAAGTAAATATTTAATACGCTCAGCATCACGAGAAATATCTCAAGAAAATGTGAGCCGTAAACTTTATTCAAGTGAATAAATAATATTTCAATTATTTTAGGATACTGAGAAAGCTATTGCACGTGCTAGAAAAGAATTTTTGATTCGCCATCATTTGGATCGCACCACAGGAATATGTAAGATTACTTTTTTTATTAAATTACTAGTTGCTAGTAGCCAATCTCGCTGGCTGGTGCTTCTCTTCTTTTTATTGGGAATTTCTAATAATTGTTAATAGTCATTGCAAAAAATCCATACAAGTTTTTATTTTTTTATCTGTACCAGTTTTTATAATTTTTTTCTAACAAAGCAGTTTTACTAAAAGTTTATTTAAAACTAAAGTTATCTTTTTTTTTTGGATTAATTAAATAATCTAATAAAGTTATAGAAAAAATAGTTAATTTAATGTATATAAAATACTATAAGTAACTTAAAACCTTCTCTAAGTGGCGCTTTCTTGAATATTTAAGGGATATTAAAAGGTAGATGTATCGTTTTTATCATCCTCACGTTTGCTTCTAATTGACTTGTTTAAAATTTAACTAATTAGTCGGTAGTATAAAATGTCGGATATAAAATTATCTAACCGTAAATTTCCAATAAAAAGAAAATTTGTTCAATTAATTTCACAGTTTTTACAATGGAATAATTTTAATTTATTTTCAGAATTTATTGTCGAAATAAGTAAATTAGTGAAAATTAATTTCAGCAGTAATTTATCTTTTTAAAAATAAATTAATTTACACTGAAGAAAAAAATTTCTTTTGAAAAAAAATTAGTAATGTAATAAGAAATAAATTTTTTGAAAATTTTCAACAATTTTATTTTTTAGCTAAAGTAATAAAAAATTTTTTCACAGTAATTTTCTTCTTTAAAAAAAGTTTTTTGGATTTGGGAAAGAATAATTTCTTTTTCCAATTCAAAAAAACTTTTTTTCAACAAGAAAGTTACTGTGAAAAAAATTTTGGTTTTTTCAGCTAAGAAATAAAATAGTTTAAAATTTTCAACAAATTTTTTTTTTTTATTATAAAAGTGCATATTTTTTTTTTTTCAAAATAAATTTTTTCTCTCAGTTTAAAGAAGAAAAAATGAAACTAAAGATCTTGAATGATACAAAATGTAATTAGTAACTTTAATCTCTCATAAAGATAGTCAACTGTCTGAAATGTTCGTTAATGTTAATAATAAAGATAATTTGATAACTATCTCCATCTCTAAATATTTAAAATATAATTAGGTGATGGTGCATTACTGCCTTCTCCAACACGAGAGAAGCTGGAGCCAGTAGTGCCACGACGTCGTGACGACTCTAAGGAATCTACTCATCGGGAAGAAATTCAACCACGAACCAAATCAAGCCCGAAGAACAGTCCTCGAACAGGACGTTCCCAGAGCATGGGTCCATTAAGCAGATCTCCAAAGCGACAGACACCTAGAACACCATCAGTTAGCAAAGACATAAAGGTAATCTTAATCTCATTAACCGAACAATGAATTTTGCAAACTTTTATCGTTAATACAAGTACAAATTGAGAGTAGCTTTAATGCTTACGTATTCTATTTTCCAGGAAAAAGAAAAGGAGCATAAAGATAAAGAAGCGAGAGACAGAAGTGGCGAGCCAGAAAGGCATCCACGTCCGAGTAAGTAGTCCCTGACGTTTTAAGTTCTCCCAGGTGATTGGCTCACGTCAGTCTGCCTAATATATATAAAAAATAAATATATACATAGAATAGTACATATACGAGAACTTTTTGGTTCGTGTCTCGATCGATCGTCGCAAAGTCTCTCTACTCTCAATAAACTACCACCTCCACTCTTTATCAACTATATAAAATTCACCTTGGCTCCTTATATCAACCTACCACTGTATCCACTAACACCAACCACCAACACCACTCCACTAGCCACCATCCTCTTTGAATTATTACCAATTATTACAAACCACTATTTATGATCGTTAATATTCTTATTGCATTTTCGTGCACAGTTATAATTATCTCATCAGGTAGTTTATTACTATTATTATTATTATTATTATTATCGTATATAGAAGATTTAATTATATGATTGTAAATTGATTGATCGACTGCTCGTTTGCTCGTCCGAGTATGTCTTATTGTCGTTAGTTTATTGATTTATAAATCGGAAGTTTTATCAGTTGTTTAAATAATATTTATCGCTCAACCCTCGTGGTTTCTTTAAATTTTAAAATGTAAAAAAATTTATCTTTTATAATATTGATAATATCGCAGTAGTTTTACAATTATATAATTTATTAAAAGCGACTTGATTAATTTTACAGTTATTAGATTTTTGTCACTTTTTAACAACTAAATAATTTTTAAAAAAATATTTACATACATAATTTTAACTAATTATGTTTTAATTACCTACTATGGGAGGTTAATGTTTTTTTTTTTGGCATATTTATTACATTTCTCCCTTTTTATAATAACAATAAACCAGGGGATTATACAAAGATTAAGATCTAATTTTAAATTACTGCGACATTACTTTATAATTTTGTAAAATTGTAATTTTATGAGTGTAAATTTAGATCAATTGGACTATAATAAATATACAAAATTAGTTTGATTGAACGGTAAATCAAGCATGATACCTGTTTGCCGACTAATTATTAAAATTCAACAGGCAGTATAATAATTACTGTACTGTTAAAAAAAAACTAACTTGATTTAAGAATATAAAATTCTTCAAAATAATATTTTTAGTTAAAAATTTTTTTTCTGAAATCAATTAAATTTTTTTTGATCAATTTTCATAATTATTTTAAGAGCCACGAGGCGTTGTAAAATCTGCATGTCTGAAAATGTTAATAAAAAGTTTGACAAATAACTTTATAAAAAATAAAATTTAGTCGAGCGATAAATATTTATATTATAAAATGCATGGCCCTTGTTCAATCCACCCTCTACTGTAATTACAATGAATAATTATTACCTAGACAGTACAATTTATCTAAAAGACTAAAACAAGACAGAATAAGTTTGAGTATAAAAAATAAACACGTAAGTCCAAACAATCGCACAGACTTTGATCGAGCGTGACACGTGATAAAAAATAGTGATTAAAGAAACGATTAGGCAACGCAGTAGCGGGTGTTTCAGCGGTCGGACGTGTCCGTTGGAGCATAAGAGAGTCGCCTAAGTCGTCCTCCTCTTCCTCAAAACCCCCTGTTGTTGTGTCGTCGGTGAAATCGTCTACTTTGAATGAGCAACCCATACCACCGTTACCACCGCCACCTGGCCCTGGGCCCACGCCGCTCCAAAGAAGACCCTCACCGAGGGTACAGCGCAAACGTACGTCTTATATTGTCCTCTCATGCATTACAACGTCTTTACTGCATTGACAATCAACTTACCTGATTGACATTATAATTGCTCAAATAGTTTATCATTCCCTTTTTATTATTATTCAATAATTCTTACCCTTCTTACCCCCATTCGTCATTGAATGACTTCATATCGTTGTCATGTAGTTTTTGGAACTTCTCTATCTCAGGTTCAATTTTATCTACACAAAAAAAATATTTTTCTTTATCAAAATTAAATTTAACAATAGTATTTTTTTCTTTTAATAATATGCGTCATTTATTTGTTATAAATTTAATTCTAAACTTGTGGTAATTAAAAATTTTACATTACTTGTCATATTTTTAATTAAATTATTAATTAAAAATTTTAAAAATACAATTTTTCCAATTTAAAAGTACCTGACGTATATAAATTTATTTTAATTATTTTTATTTAAAATTATATTGAAATTGACGGACATTAGATCATTTTTTCACTTGACTTATTTTAAAACAATGTCATTAAAGTTAGCCGACGTTCTAAATTTTTTTATTTTTTTTTTAATAATCAAGTTAGAACAAAAAAATTTTTTTTAAAATTGCACTTACAGTTTTTGAAATTTTTTAGACGTGCAATTTTTTTTTTTTATTTTTTTGTAATGATTTTTTCAATAAAAAAAAATTATAAAAATTTTTAAATGTCGGCTAACTTAATTTTCATTTTAAAACAAGTTTCGAAATTTCTTAAATTTTTTTATAACTATAATTTATAATAAAAAAATGTATACTTTAAATTAATAAAAAAATTTAATTTATACGTAGGAAATTTGTTCATGAAAAAAATTTTAATTTTTTAGTGAAAAATTGAAAAGTAAAAAATATCTAAGTATATTAATTAATTGGTAAATATTAAAAATTTTATTGCAAGCATAAAAAAAATCAAATAGCCGTCTTTTTTTATTACTTAGAAAATACAGTAGGAAATTATGTTTATGCGTTTGTAAAATTTCTAGATTTGGAAATTGAAAAAAGTTCGATTAATAATAATTTACTTGTCAAAAAAAAATCCTAATAAAAATGATTACTTGCCTGTTAAAGTTATTATTATAAAATAATCAATATTCTTACCACAAGTAAATTATTTTTTTAACGCAATTTAAAAGCTCAAATATTCAATATTTTATTAAAAATAAATATTTAAATATGACAGCTTTGACTAAAACAATTTTTTTTTAAATTGCAGAAATAAAAGTTTAAAGTTAATAATTATAAAACTACCCACAGTTCATTAGAACAAATAAATTTAATTGAATAGAGACACCGAGAAGTTTCAAATAGTTACTGTAGTAATTTTCATATGTCAAATTAGCACCGTATAAATATCAACAGCTCACTGTTTAAAAGCTCACATTTGTCCTTCATTTGAATAAACAAAATTAGTTGTTGTTATTATTATTATTATCGCGGCATTAATCACCTCATTTGCATTCCACGTCCCTCGCGTTCCGGCAAAGCACGGTTGGTTCGATGTTTAATTTAATTTACAAGTCACTAATCACTTTTACCTAAAAAAAAATAATTAAGATTAATTGATTAAATTTAATCTATAGTGATAAAAAAAAAAGAAAATTTTATTTATACTAATAAAAACAATTATACTTAGACTAATATAATATAAATACTTAGATAAGTGCGTCGAGACCGGAACGAGAACGGATTACAACCATAATCATAATCATCTTGAATAATATGTGTTTTAGCCTTCCTCGCGACAACCGCTTCCCCTCGTCCTCTTCATCTAGCCGCGAAAACAAATTTACCACCAACAACAACAACTACAACAACTACCACAACAACAAATACAAAAGTAACCCCAAATAAGCTTCATCAAAGCGCGCGAGAGCGCTCCGATGGCCGGTCAGGCATCAGATCAGCCTCAGCAGCAGCAACTTCCTCGGGCTCGAGGTCACTGGACCGGGTCACCAGTAATAACCGAAAAAATTTGAGCTTAAGCCATAGTCCAGCCTCAAGAGCCCGAGGATCCGCCAAAGCCAAGGCGACATCCGCGCCTACTGCTGATCACCCATCCAAATCATCCTCCACCACCACCGACAATCGAATTCAATCGTATCGAGCTAATGCAGCCCTGCAAGCTAGTAAGTAGCATGCCTGTGACTCCACCGTGTATTTTTATTTACGTTACCTTCTCTTCCTTTTTCTTCATCCCGATAATTATCTATTGATTTTAAATTATTGTAGAATTTACATTTTTTTTATTATTATTTCTTCTTTATGATTTTATGTCTACGATTATCGAAAAATTCTACCCTCAATTATTACTATTATTATTTGATTTTCTTATGATTATCCCTTTTATTTGAGTTTAATTTGAATGAAAAAATCTTTAACTAAAGAAACTTTTAATGAGAAAAATAAATTGGTAAAGTTTTATTATTTCAAATTTACCGAATCAAAAATTAAATATTTCACATATAGTTGATTTATAATGAACTTTATTTCTTACTCTATAAAATCTACAATAATTTAAAATCAAAGTGTGCTTTTAACTTGTCATTATTTATTTATAAAAGAGATAAAAAAGCTTTCAATGTCTTTTTATGTTTTATTTCCATTTGTTTTATTTTATTTTTTACACATAAAACTCCGCATAGGGAATACACGTACCTAAAATTAATATCCCTGGCGAAAATAACTTACTCGATAACGATTATTTATTAAAAGTATCTTCATCATTCACTTTCGTAACAATTAATAAAATCTAAAAGGAAATTTTTTATTTTTATTATTGGAAATTCATTTAGTTTAATTAAACTTTCTTCGACTAAAATTTTATTATTATTTCTTCTTATCAAAGAAATTATTAATTGATCTTTCAACAGAGAAATTACTTTGTATATGGATGATTCTCTGTAAGGACGTCTTAAATCTGTACAAAACTGTCCGACCAAATTTTTTTTGATTTTATTAGAAAAAAAATTAACAAGGACTACAAAACTATCAGCTTAATCGTAATAAATAAACAGCCGAATTAATTTTTGGTTTTTCGATATTTGTGTATCTTTTGCATGCGTAACATGACAGGGGACTGTTTTTTTTATCAAATTGAGAAAAATGAAGCAAACTATTTCAATGCATTCAACTTTTTAAGTTCTCAATGAATGTTTACATTAATTAGAATAATATTAAGACTTATGGATCCAATTTTATAAATAAATTATAAACAAAAATAGCTGCCAGGGGACTGAGTTTTGAAGTGGCCCAGACACATATTTCCAGACACATATTTAGATCTTTATAAACCTTATACTAAAGGTTAAATAACACGCTAGACTTTTTTTTTTTGGCTCTGAACTTCTGGCAGGGGACTGATCTCAAATGCCTGGGACAGACTTTGGTTTAATGAATTTAATGAAACAAATTAACTTTCGGTACTTTTTATTGAAGAAAATTGTTAGTTAACTAATTAAGTTTATAAACATTATGGACCAAATTATATATTATGGACGAATAACTTAAAATTTAATCTTAAAGTTTTAATTTTGGGACAGCCCAGAGGACTGAGATTTTGGTGGTTTACGAATTTATAGCAAAAAAACCAAAATTTATTCCATTTTAGTTTTCAATGCTCCAAATAGAAATGTTTTTTTACTTTTGTAATAAATTTTTTTTAGTAACAAAATAACAATTTTCCTAATAAAAAAATCCCTGGGACAGCAAAAAACATCCTTACAGAGAATCACCCATATATTTTAATTAAAAGTTATTGACAAAAAAATTATAATGATTCCTACTTATAAATAATTAATAATTAATAAAACTTTTATTCTAAGCAAAAATATTTGATATTTAATTTTTGCATCAAAAAATTTTGTGTTGAATATTTAAAACTTTTTTGTGTTAATTCTCTTTAATCAACACAAAAAAGTGTTAAATATTAAACACAAATTTTTTTTATGCGACGCAAAATTTCTTCCGGGTAATTTTTCTAAACTTTTTTCCTACATAATATATTCTTCACCACTATCATTATTAACCTTTTTACGCAAATTAATTTTTTCATGTCAGTGTCACACATTTATATACTCACACACGTGGAACCCATCACATCTAATCAGTATTCTATTTTTTTAAAACCCAGGATCATTAATCTCACCACCGCAGCTTCTTGACCTTTTTCTCCTGATCCCTTTCTTCTTCTCTATATCTCGGTCATATATGACTCCTTTGCTAATACTTTTTCTTCCTTTGTACTTAATAATCCAATCGAGTAGAATCCAATCCAATCCATTCGATTTGATTCTTTTTTTTATCTCCTTTCTCTATCAATCTATTTGCTCGGTTAAGTTATCCAATCGATTAACAATATGCTCTCTCTTACTCTTACTCTGCGTCATTATTTTTTAAGTCCGTGTTCACTGTTATACATATATTTATATATATTGTTGTATACTATCAATATATCCTTGACTGTTGTATCATATATGTTGTACTGTTGTGTGTGGATTTAATATAACTTGATGTTGATATGTTATGCAATGTGTTACGTAAATGTGCTACACTTGTTTACCCTAAAATAATTGTTTAATCGCACGATATATGGTCCACTGAAAACAATTTTAATGAACAATCTGATATTGTCTGATTTTGTTTCAATAATAATTATTGTTATAATTGTTACTATTAAAATAAATAGTAATACATAAATGTTTATTTATGTGCTAATGAATGTTTACTTTAACAGTAGATAAGCTCGATATTTGTGAGAAAGTTTGCAAATCCTTGATATTAAAAGCTTATTATTACATCCATGCTACCGTCCTCGACGTCGACTTTATTTATATTTATTTTTTTTATTTATCGTCTTGGATTATTTTATTGCTGTAAATTTAAATTATAAACCGTATAAATTTTTTAAATCCGCTGCACGGCTTTTTGGCTCGTTGTGTAATTATCATCTTTAGTTTTATTTTACCAGTAATTTTTTTTTAAATTGTGAAAATTACAGAAATTAATTCACAAAAATTACGCGGTTTGTTTTTTTTTTTTAATAGTGAATAAAATTATACCAGAATTTCATTCAATGTCAACGGCAGAAAATGTTTTGCAGTTTTTGCATGAATAATAAGGAACGTGTTTTAATCATTAAATAATTTTATGAAATTTAAAATTTATATAGTCATTTCAGATTAAATATAGTAGATACATAAATTTGTAGCGATTTTAGTTGGATGTAAAAATTTAGGTATCCAAAGGACCAGGGTTCGATTCCCAATAGTAGTAAAAATGAACTAAAAGAAAAAAATTTACATAAGTGCCTTGTTATCGTGATTTTATTTTGCTTATTTATTCAAATTTCAAGGGGAACTTTTTAGTTTATTTCGGATACAAAAAATTTTTATTTCGAATTAAATTTTAGTGTTAAAAGGTAAAGTACCCAGTACTTGAACATTTCTAAAAATGGGACCAGTAGTTGAACAGACTTTTAGAATTGCTGTAATACAAAATCTGTATATATATTATGATTATGAGTAATATGCGGTTGTTATAATTATTCAATGATACAGTAATTGATTTTGGTAAGTTTTTTCAATTATAAATCAAAACAATTACATTTTTGTTAACTTTAAAGTTGACATGTTGAGAATAACCGATAGATGCTATTTTTTTCATGAAAAAGGGTACTAAACCGTAAACCGAACAATCAGTAAAAAAAACGGTATATCATCATTTTAAGTGAAAAAAAAATTGTACTACCCAATGAAATAGTCTTTTCTAAATAATAAATATTTTTTGCAAAGACATAAACTATAATTTTTATATTAAATTTTAGCGTTCAACTATACCTCCCAATTTTCAAAGCGGTACCCAGAACTTGAACAAGCTGGGACCATATAATTTTAACAGCACTCTAACTTTTAATAGATTTATAGACTAGTGATCAGTATTGTGATTTGTATTAATTACTGCAAATTAAATAAGTTTTATAACTAAAAATTAGTATAGTTAAAAATTATTGAACGTTTTGAATTGAGTTTTTTTGATTTATAATTGACAAATTTACTTTGTCATTCATAAAAAATGTAATTAAAAAATCAAATACAAATGTTTCTCATTTTTAAATGAACATATTAAATATTTATAGTATTATTCAATAATATGTTATAAATCTTTGAATATTTCAATAAAACGTTAAAAATTTTTTGGTGTGCCTATTGCCATATATTTTATTAGTTCAACTACTGCTCCCAGAGTGTTCAACTACTGCGGCTTGTCAGAATTGATTGTTCAGCTACTACTCCTTTCATAGTCTATCTTAAAAACGTTGTCAAATTATAAATATTCAATTATTTGCGTTATTTTGCACTTCAATCAATTCAAAATTGTTTATATTATCATGAAAATCACTACTTTGAACTAATAATTACATCTTTATATATAAAAGTAGGGTCAAATACGTTTTACTTTGAAACCTGTTCAACTACTGGGTACTTTAATTCTTTTTAAATTGATAGAATAATTTATCAACTATTAATAAATTACTTTATTTATTAAATACAAAAAATTATATTTTAATTTTTATCAAATGCAATTTTTTGGGAGTAAAATTACATTTATTAATAGTTATAAAATATTTATTTGCAGTTCACAAATTATTTTTAAAAATTGATTTATTAATTATTAATAAATATTTTTCAACTATTAAAAAATACTGATTAATTTTTAAATAAATATTTTTTAAATCATCTTATGTTAAAAAATTATTTATTAACAATTAAAAAATATTAAAAAAATTGTATATCAGGTCATATTCATATAGTTAATCTTGATATCAAAAAATAACAAAAAAATTTCTGTAATTTTCACAGAACTGTTTTTTCCTGTAAAAGAATATAACAAAAATAAAAACGATGATGAATAATCAAATTAAACAGGTTTAAATAAACTAAAAAATTAGTAATTAAACGAAAGCAGAAAAATGCTGTACAAAAAGTAAAAAAATAAAAAAACGTCGAGAACGAGGAGCAGTGTCGACAATGGAATTTAAATGAACATAAAACAGCCGCAAAATAAGCTTCAAATATTGGTAATTCCAGTGACCGCGGAGCCGCATATGAATGGGGATGGAACGGGCGGCGAGTCAAGCGTGGCGTCGACCCCCCCGTCGCAAGCTGCCACCGTGTCAGCACCCGCGGCGACCGCGGTGGTAACAAGCTGCCCGTGGTTCGACGACGAGCCCGTGATAAAGAGTCCACCGGAGCCAACCCGGGTAAAGAGTCCAGAGCAGATGATAATGCGCTCCCCCGAGCCGGTGAATTGGACAGTGCCACTGGACACCGGCAAGACCTTCACGGTGACGCAAAACGTCCTCGAGGGTAAGAAATAACATCTATTTATTAATTTCTTGGTTTTCCTGATCAATTATTGATTATTAATTACTTATTTTAGGGGAACCGCTGACGAGACCTCACAGCGAAGCGAAAACCTGGGCAGCACCAACAGTTCACTCAACACCGCAATCAGCACCGCCGGAACTAGCAGCTCTGCACAAATCTCATCCGCAACAGCATTCTCAGCATTCGGGCTACAAGTCCCCCGAGAGCGAGAGTGTCTCACTGGGGAGCTACACCGGGCTAAATGGCCACAAGGACATGGACTCAGAGAGGGACAGTCCATTACCAACCAATCTACAGTGTACACCCACTCCAACCCAAAGTGATAAGGTTAATTTATCTATTTACTATTTAGAGCTACAACGTCCACATCACTATCAATGTCATTAATATTCTGGTCACATTCCTAAGAAGCTTCAGTCTTATTATTATTATTATTATTATTATTATTATTATTATTATTATTATTATTATTAGAATTGGAATTAGAATTCAAAGAATGTACTCGTGATATATTCAATTAATTATTGCACAACTTGAAGTAAATTCACCCGTTCACTCAGCTGATACATAACAATTTTAGACGTATGTAAATGATGCGGGCGAGTTTAAATTTATTAGCTTCTTCCCGAGGGAAACTGAAGAAACTGACATGCTTCTGACCACCGCATTTGAATGTTGTAAACCTATCATCGAAATAACTAATCTAATACTACAAGTGCTTAATAAATAATTTTTTTGTTAAAATTTTGGAATAATTGTTTTTATATATAGTTTTTTTTTGTAATTTTTTAACATGTTTAGCTCAGAATTTAAATCTTGATAAGATTAACATTTTTCACGATCTTTAGATTTATTTTTTAAAATAATAATAAAAGAAAAGGCATAAAATAATTTTTTTTAACTATAGAAAAAAACCATTAATTGTAATAATTTTCATTATTCTCTAAATAATTAAGAGAATAAAGAAAATTTTGTGATGAGCATATTTTTATTTTAAAAGGGATTTTTATAGTTAAATTTTGATACCATCAGAACGATATTGACTTGAATTTGTACTTTTTCACGATTTTTTATATTTTGGTGGTAGTCAAATTTTTATGTTAACTTTTAAGAGAAGTTTTAAACAGTTTATTGGCTCTATAAGTTCTTTCTGTCATATCTTCCATTAAATTCACGGAAATTTATCCTGTCAGCAATATTATTTTTAAAATTTGTTTTAAAAAATACCCAAATGATGTATATTGTAATTAAAAAAATTTTTTTGCTATGGATTTTTCTCTTTCTTTTTTCGTACTAAATCTCAATGATTAATTGTATCAATTGAGAGCTCACTCCAGCTGCGGTTGCAAATTTTTTTATTAAAATTGATTTGGTTGAAGAAGTATTAAATTCTTATTAGAATATTCTTTCCAGAACACTAACAAGATATGACATTTGCTCATTTTTCTGCTTTTTGATATCATATACTGTCGATAGATTATTATTTGATTTATTAGAAGTTGCAAAAATGTTCTTTCTTGAATAATCAATTATAATTTTATGGAGAATGCAATATAACAAACAAACTATTTAAAACTACTTTAAAAACTTAAAATTATAATAAATTGACTATCAGCCAAAAAAAAAAAAAAAAAATATTTACAACCATGAAAAGACTTCGATTTAAGTCAAGATCATTTTAAGGACAAAATTTATTTATATAAACTTATTTTATAATACAGATATCCCCGTGATAAAAATTTTTTTATTCTCTTAAGAATGGGTCCCATTTTTTCTCTTCTTGCACTCATCGAGAGAAACCGTCCTATCTTTATTGCACTCGCAATAATAAAGCTATTGTAGAATCATAAAATTTTCTTTAAATAAATTAAAATTTTGTAAAAAACGCTCTGCGAGAAAATATATATTTAAATAACCTATCGAATAGCAGAGAGTTTTTTCTAAAATTTTTCTATGTTTAGGAGAAATTCACGAAGCTACAATAGCTTTTAGACCGGCTCTTAATATTAATTGTATATTATTATTTCAGCCACTAAGGCCTAAAAATAGGACTTGAATACAAAACTTTACATATATCATAATCACTTTGTTTTTATCGTCTCATACAAATAAAGTTTTTATAAAAATTTTTTAAAATTATTTTACAATTTGAATTTTAACATTAATATTAATTATATAGAATTACTTCTATTAATAGCTACTTACTTTAAAATTTTAAATTGCATTAGAACTAAAAAATATGAATGTATTCAGACTATAAAATTTTGAATAACCTGCACCTAGTATGTATGTTAACTATCTTGAATTTGAACAAGTAACTGAAATAAAATAAATTGCAGGTTTCAGTAGCAGTAGAGAAACCCGACGAACCCAAGAACCCAGCGATAAAACCCGTAGCAGGTACAAGTTTGCGGTGCCTAGAAGATCCAGTCTTTGAATTTGAGAAGAGCAAAGCAGAGACAGCTGCAACAGCACCAACAACGACCTCAACAACATCCGGCGGTTCCGGGTACCGCGTCCTGGAAGCAGAGGACCCGGCATCGGAGGTGACTGCACCCGTTGCCACAGGATCCGGTTATCACGTACTTGAAGCACCAGCTTTGAGTCCAGGTTCAGCTCAACGATCGGTCGCGAGTGACGTGCTCGAGATTGCTCGCAATAGATTTGATAAATTCTGGGGCAAGGGCTCTGATAATCAAGCTTAAATATTACCTTTATTATTAATTAATAATAATAATAATAATAATAATAATTATTATTATTATTATATACTGATACTGATACTCTATGAATATGAAGAAGCGATGAAGAACTTGGTTTGATGATTTTGATTATGAATGAATTAGATGTTTAATGAGATGAAGAATGATGACACCTAATCTAACAAAGGTGTCAAGTTTTTTAGGTGCTTGTCATCTTTATTAAGCGTGTGCTTGTTCTTTGTAGAGCGTGATGATAGTGTGAAAACTCTTGAACAAAAATAGATTACCACGATGATAATGATGATAATGGGGAGGAAGGGAAGATGGAGGAATAGAATGACAAATACCAGATTCAGAGTAGCGATTTACTCGCTGATGAGCTTCAAACGCTATCGTATAAATCAATAGTCCGCTTCATGCATTTTAGATTGTCGATTTGTGATGCGAGGAATCGGTTTTGAATGATAACGGATTATTAATATCATTGACACTAATCATATTAATGATTATAATTACAATTATCAAGATGATGGTAATATTGTTTATCACTTTCATTGATTAAGCACTATTTATTAATGATTCGGCTTTCGGTTAAGCTTTTAAATAATCACGAGCTTTTTAAATCATCTTTGAAATCAGGGGTCAGTTTTTTAAAACGAGTTTTTATTGAAAAAATTTTTAATAAGAGAAAAATTTTTTTAATAAAATAAAATTTCTCATAAATAAATACTTTGTGTATTTGATTTCAAAGAATTTTAATTTATTTGGAAGAATATTTATTCTTTGTTATTAAATATGTATATTTAGAGTATTGATTTACGGAAAATTTTATTTTATTAATTTATTATTGATATTTACAATTTCGTAAAAAACTTTATTTAAAAAACTGGTCGTAAAATGAAAATAAATAAAAAAAAAATTTACTTAATTGATAATTATTAACGCTTCTATTTCATAATCACTCGTGATAAAGCTCCATATTTGTTTAACCATTGAATAATAAAAGTAAATTTTAGATAGGTTGCACGAAGAAATATTAAAATACATGAGATCAGTACATAAAAAATAAAAAAAAAAAAAAAACGTAGTGTTCTACGTTATAAAATTCCGTCTACATTTTTTAATATACATCTTTTTATTTATAAAGGACAATTAGATAAAATCAGTATTAAACTGATAATGATTAAAAGCAAAAATGGGTAATTATTTATTGTTAGTTGAATATTTATTTGCATTGACGCTGGTTAACTGGCTGAAAATGCTTTGAAGCAAACCCCGAAGAAATGTTCCCCGAGGGACAAATTAGTGTGGAATTAGCGTGTGGATGATTGTCGATTAAAAATAGATAGAATTAAACAATTAAAAAATAATAAACAAATGATTATTCTGCCATGGATGACTTAAGTAGTGAAGAAAGAAAAAAACTAAAATTTTTAATCAACATTTTTTAATATTTAAAATAAATAAAACGCATAAATTAACTTTAAAAATTAAAAGTTAACGCTGCTGACTGTCAACTTCGGGGAACTATCTTCCTCGCTGGTGTTTTCATGAGAAAATTTATCCAGCCGTGGATAATATAATATACTGCATTTATAACACCAGAAATAATAAAATCCAAGATTTACATGAGTAATTTGAGACACTGTAAAAAATTGGAGGTAATTCCGGTATGAGTACGAAATTTTTAGACTAAAATAAATTTTTATTGAGCTGAAACAAATTTCTTACTTACAATATATTAAATTTTTCTTTTTGTCTGTATAAAAAAAATAAAAATTGAAAAAAATTTTTTTTGTCTGTATAAAAAGATAGCAAGAAAGAATCGAATTAAAAAAAAATTTTTTTTTTAATTCGAATTTTTAGAAAAAAATTTAATTTGAATAAAATAAATTAAAATTGAAAATGAATTTTATAATTTTTAAATGAATAACAACTATTTTGTTATTCTTATTTAATGAAAGAAATAAATAATTCACTTCGCGTAGTGAATTCTATTAATAATATAAATAAAATCCGTCTCGGAATGAATTTCACTCTCCTGAAAATTTTTTACAGTGAAATACCAAGCAAAGACTATGAAATTGATAGAAGTAAAGATCAACAATGAAGAGATAAATTCATAAACATCAACCGGATGAACTTTAAATACGTATGAATGATTGCATTATTATACATTAAATATAGCAATATATAATGAGCTTTATTCTCTCACGCGTTAAAAATACACCAGTGTACCACACTCCATCCAGATCCACGTCCAAAGTCCAAGACAAACCAACCAACCGTAGTAAACATTATAAAATTTTAAACAAACCAAACAACTAAAAAAGTTAAGACAAAGCAAACAAAGATATTAGACAAACAAATGAGTTTAATAAAAAATGAACAAGTCCATACAAAAAAAAAAAAAAACAAAAAAAAAAAACAATGATTATAATGACGACTGACGGAAATGAACGTAGGATTCGGGATTTAGCGAGAGAGTTTAGCGATGATCAAACAAGTTTAGCTTACCAAAAGGAACGTCACTCCTTTGCTTTTTATTTATTTATTTAATTAATCAAATATAAAAATCTGTACTACCCGCAGCCTCTCTCTCGCATAAAATTAATTAGCTGTTGGCGGCATACCCTATTTTTATTTATTTATTATTTTAACTTATGTATTTTTAAATAGTATGTACCATTAAATAAAAGCAAGCACTTTGCAAGCTCACACTGCCCTTAAATCTAGGCACTTGTCTTACGATCCGGACAATTCCAAGTAAAAAAGGAATTTAAAAAAAAATAATAATAAATTTGAAAACCAATGTGATCCTTCCCTTTGTCCTGATGACCAAAGGGCACTGATTAACCGAATGTATTTTTTTTTTTTTGATTTTTTTGTTCTTGAATAAATATTTAAAACTTAACAAATAGACTCGATTGTCGTTTCTAGATGCAAACGGATCGACTCACGTGCTGGTCACGAGCCTTTTTTTACATATATTTTTTGTTTAAATTTAACGAATACGAACTATCGAGTAAGAACTGATAATTAAAAAAAAAATGAGCTTCTAGGAACGATAAATCAATTATATTAATAACAGTGAGACAATCCCGGATTCGGTGTTATTTGTACAAGGGATTACGGAGTAGAGTAGTGGTATGCTGCAGGAGAGAGAGGGTCAAGTAGGATGAGGGAAAAATATATTATATTAATAATAAAAACTAAATACTTAATAATGATATTAAAAAATAAAAATGAAAAAGTTAAATAAACTAATGAATAATTAATTAATTAACAAGAGTAAGATAATCGTTGTGGATAATGCCCAAGCGATCAAGGCAACCCGGGATTTAATTTTGCATCCCCGCCTTAGTCCGTAATGCCTATTATAAATAGATAGATCATATAATAACGATAATTATACAATATAAACAATTAAATGGATGATTAAAGGTTAAAAACACGATGAAAGCTAATAATTAAAAATGGTTATGGAAGTTTTATGCAATTAAATGGTTTAATACCGTATAGTACTGTTTTGCTAAAATACGAGAAATTAATATTTATAATTAACAATTTAATAATTAATAATTAATGATAAATAAAATTTATTGTTGATTTAATGTTTATATACAATTGCAGAGTTTAAGATCGGAGATACAACGAATTTGTAACTCATTATGCGAAACTATTATTTATAATTATTATTAATTATATTTATTATTTATTAATTCAAAAATGCGCGTATATTTAATCATGTATTTATAATTAATTATAATTGTATTTAATGTAATGAGAGTGGTGATAAGACAAAGTGAAAGATAAGAAGGTGAGAAAATTTTAATTATTGGCCTCTGGTGTTGCCTTATCAATTAGTTTTGCAGGGTAATTATTATGTAATTGATGTTAATCAAAGCTTTTATTATTAAAATAATAAAAATAAAATTTAATTAACAACAAACACCTTTCTCATATTTTGCAAAACAGTATACGGATGGATAATAGAAAATAATTATTATAATAAAACAAAAATACCAAAATAATTGACATGACTGAGTCTGTTATTTTGCAGTAATTACGTTTTATACAATTTTTTCTCGCGTTATCGTTGATTATTAAAAGTAATTAAATAAATAAAAAAAAAAAAA